TTCCCTCACTGTTACCCCTGTGCTGTTTTTTGGAGGACATCTGATCATTGTCAAAATCCAACTCTGAAGACATCAGAACAGGAACTAAGTCACTTTCAGGTACTTCCAGGGTATTTTCCACTATTAACTGGCAGATAATTAATGAAGTTCACATAATGGTAGAATGCTCTCATTGATCATGAACTTCAGCTCTTTCCATCCTACATACTGGAATCGTTTCACATTTATGTTAGTACAAAGTTATTTGTTTCATCTTCTATGGTCCCAGACCTCCCAAATCCCACTTTTTTTCCTGGGATTGGCAGAAGTAGGGCATGCTACCAAGGCCATTCAGCACTTCAATGGACCACACCTGAAAAGCTGGAGGTATCATATAAAACACAGGCAAGTTTTGATTTATTTGGCTCTATAAATAGAATCCCGCCCAGTCCTCTTTTTGAAAAGCCCAAAAAGAAGAGAGTCAGGAAAGGTGTGGTGACTGCAAATAATGCATTCTGCCCACATGCTGAATTAACGAGGTCCAACTCAGATGATGGTGAGATTTTAGATTTGCTGTGGCTCCCAGTCTATACAAATTGCCACGTAGACAGTAGAGAAATTCGATCTTCCTCATACTCAGAAATATTCCGTTTTCCATGCAACAGGAGATTTGCATTAAAAGATTATAATTTTGAAACAATGAAGACATCTACCTTAATGCACAATTACAATTAAAGCATAAAATTTGGAGGTGCAAGTGATGGCTTGGAAAATGATACAGGAAATACAATAATACCATCATTTATGCTGCTAGTACACCTTCAGCTGGAATGTTATGTTTAGTTCTGGCCACCTTAATTCTAAAATAAAGCTACGGCAGAAATAGAGTCAATTTAGAAATAAGAGATATGATCATTAGAGTCCCAGTAAAGACTGAAAACACTGAAGATGTTTAATTTAGAGAGAAGGCAAATAAGATGACTTGAAATGTATGTGAGGTAATTAAGACAAATGAAATAGTGAGCTTCTCCCATATCATATGAACCAGAAGAATATCAGGATTAACTTAAACCCCAATAAATTTAAACCTGAAAGAAGGAAGTAATTGTACAAACATTGGCCATTCTCCATTTGTAAACTGGGATGGTAATTTACCATGAAAGCTGTTCGGAGCAACAGATATACAAATAAAATTATTAATAGTAGTTCATTTGTGGAACTCCAGCCATAAGGGCCAGTAAGACCCATTGTAAGCGAGGTTTAAAAGTTGTTTAGATACACATGGCCACATACAGACTGTATGGACCATTGCTTTGTTCCAGCATCACCATTCTCAGAGTTATTCCTTAAAGAATTGGTATGTTTTGGTCTGTGCTCAGAAAGATGAAGAGCAGGGATGTACTGGGGAAAGGAGCTGTCCCATTAGCATCAGTGTGAGCCTGTGCCATGTCTCATCGTGTTTGCCCCAGGAGAGAGGTAACTAATACAGCTTGGTCAACACGTGTGATATGTCTCTTGTTAGAATGAAAACCGAGGCCCAGGATGCTATACAGTAACTCTTTAGTCTGCAGAGATCAACAGCACCTCATTATCAAAGAAAGGAACTGGAAACTTCCCTTCACTGGTAAGGGGAAGCATTTTATTTCAGACTGATTTCCAAAGCTGCTAAAGCCACTTAGTGCCTTTGTATTGACTTCAGTGGCTCTGGTCTTTAACTGACTCTGTTGGCTATGTCTGCAATACCTATTTAGTGTTGTACTTGGGATGTTTCTAAAATCCAGCCAAGAAGGAAAATCATTTCTCGTTGTCAGACAGTTATAATTAAGGTGGAAGTTCAACAGGTATTCTAAGCTGCTTTTTCATGTGCTCTTACCTTTTAAATTTCTATTGGGGCTGAAATTTCCTTTGCTCAGTCTCACGCAGAGATGGGCCTTTTTAATTTTGCATGAACCTTTTCAAACAAAATTGGCAGAGCTGTTGTTAAGTTACCAAAGTGTAAAGAAGGATTCACACACACATACACTTTGTGGACTCGTTTAGAATATTGTACTAAGCTATCTGAAATTTGTAGCTAAAGTGGATAATTCCAGGATTTGTTCTAACACAAGACTTAAAGGTTGTCTTTAAAGTTTCTTTTGCAAGCTGATGAGCATCTCCACCCCAAAAAGAAGAAATGAATGAAACTTAGTACCTGAAAAAGTCACTCTTGCCCCCATTTCATCTCACAGAACTTGCAGCCATCAATTCTCTAAAGTTCTGCTGTTTTTAAAATGCAGAAAGTGATTTGTCCTTTAAAATGACATTTGGTAAATTCCAGGCCCCAGTTTCTTTCCAACTCAGCTATTGACAGTTTCCTTGCTCCCTCTGTTTCCAGGTTCCATACACCGCATGCAAGAAAATCTCCAACTATCCCACTGCAAATGCCTACAAATCTTATCATGTTTCCAGTCCAAGCAAGACTTTAAGGGAAATTCTAGCATGTTTCAACAACCCATTGCTAGGAAGATTGAGAAAATCCCCACTCCAGCACCCAATCAATACTATGTACGGAGATTTGGAAGGGAGGACAAGGAGGGGGGCGGCACAGCTAATCTGTAATGTTTGTGAAGTGATGTTTGATGTTCCAGAAGACACTAGAACTAGCTGTAACCTACCTGATTTGGGTACAGCTCTCAGGGTAGCTGCAACAGCCCAGAGCCTTGTGCAGGTACTTATCCCGTGCCTGATGATTTTGAGGTCTGTGCCACTGTGGGCAGTTTGGCACCAGTATCTAAATGCACAAGCATGACGCTAGGTCAGGTATTTCCACATGATCTGCTGTCTCACCTCTGACTGTGCTGCAGATGTACCCCAAGCTATTGTGAACCTTGAGCACACGTTAGGCAGTAACTCTTCAATACCAAGGGAGGAAGAACGCATCCTGGCCCTGGGACAGCAGCAACCCCTGTCCTTGCCACATCACTAGCTTTAATACTGAAAGACCCAGGACTTTTAATCCCAGAAATCCAACCTGCCTTGATTACTTATAGGGAACTTCTGCCAAGAAGCTCAAGGCAGGTGAACGTTACATCTGTAACAGGTACTGGGTTTTGAGGTTCAACCTCAGAGCTGGGAATCAGGTCTGCGTATGTACAACTGATGTAACTGTGCCCTTCCACTTGCTGTGGAGCTGTGCCAGTTTATATCAGCTGAGGAGCTAGCCTTCAGGTTCAGTTCCTGAACCTCCTGCTGATTCACCCTTGTGTAAGTCACTTAACTGTTCTGTACCTGATGCTCCACACCCATGCCACGGTGACCAGGCTTCTCTGGGGTGTTGTAAGCTTTAGTCTGCAGGAATTCAGAGTGTGTTCTGAGATATGGAAGATGTTAACAAACAACAAAGTGTTATTAATAATTATCAGAGAGTTTATAATAATATATGCACAGCTAATGGACTTTCCTGTCCCTTCAATGGTGTCTTGCTGTAGCTGTGATTACTTTTGGATTGTTTTGTTATTCTTCAGAAAAAGTTTTTGTCTTTTTCTGCACAGCATGCCTGCATTGCAGCCGTTTCCTAGTGAGCTGTCCCCTTTTAAGCTGCACTTTAATGCAAGATACATCCAGTGTGTGGTGAGGCAGAGCATGTTGACTCCTTATAATATTTGATGAGTTTGCATAGCCGTTTAAGACAGAATGAAGATGACACAATTTAATAAGCTTAATAAGTTGCCACTCATCAGCTGAGACATCTTAACTGGCTGCGTGCATGTTCTTGAAGCAATTAATGCTTTTATAAAGTAATTTGATACAGTTTAAACATCAGCAAAGGTGTTTTAAACAAACATGTCTTACTTCACAATTTGGGTGTGCAAAGAGCACACGTACAGAGTTACCAAGATTCAGCTGACATGGGGTAATCATGTCCGCTCACACAACCTATACACTAAGACTGTGAACTTTCTTATAATGACTCACTCCAACTGAGTATCTGTCCCAGCATGTTCTAAGTTGATTAAACTAGTTTGTAGGCCATAATTATTTTCTATATCATACTATAATGGATTCGCATCATATTATTTTTAACATTGTAAGAATTTGCTTCTGGGAACGGCCTTCTTGAATTAATCACTGACTCATGATTTACTGTAGGAGATAATATCTAACCTACAAGAAGCAGAACAGGAAACTATCTATTTAAAAGATGGCAGTGTCTGATAATTTATGACTATAGACAAAGAGACATCTGAGAAGACAAAGGCGGCCAGATCCTGCAGTCTTTGCATGGTCACTGCTCTCAGGCAAAAAGGAACTTCTGTCTAGTAACCGGAGGATCTGGTTTTGAGGCAGTGACAGCTGAAAGTTGACAAATATTGGAGAAAAAATGAGTGAGAAACAAGAAAACAGTGTCCCGAGCTGTCTTCAAATCTCTGGGACCAAACCCTATATTAAAATAAAGCCAGTTAAACGTTATGACTACTGTAGGCATTTCACTAGCTGAATATAGGAAACATAAGGAAAAAAACAGGGAAAAAGCATCAGTCTTTCTGTGTTTGAACCTTTTATGCAGGTTTCTTGCTACCTCCTCAGTCTTGTGCATGAACTGGACTCTTCCACTCACATCAATGGATTAGCTTGACTGTTAGATGTTTTCTCTAAGGCTGATTAGAAAAAGTCAATTTCAGCAGCCAACAATAAAAAGCTTTAAATTCTGGAGCATGTTGCAGGAGGTTAGGTTTAATCCAGGGAATGTGAAGGATCTTTCCCTTTGTCCCATTCTACCATGATCTATTCTGGGTAACTCATATAACCTTTGGCACCAGAGTGTTTTTCACTCTGTAAAGAGAGCGATTCTCACTTTGAGTGCGAGGCTCCTTAGGAGCTGTGGATGACATGTGTTTCTATGTATATTTGGTAGAAGAGCTGCAGTGTGCACCAGGGAGTGACTGCAGCAGGTAGCCAAGTGCTCCAGAAGAGTAGCGTGACCTGCTCCCCCAGGGACTTTTGGTACCTCTGTCCAAGTTAATTAGCTCATGGACCGCTAGAAGCATAACAACCATGCTGCACGCTGAGCTTGGTGCAAGTTGCAGGAGGGCACAAACACTCCAGCAGTTATCTGCAGGCCTGAACAAACTAAAATACAGATTCTTGAAGTCATCTTTAGCTTGAAGCCATCAGTCCACAGCCACAGAGACATGTCCTTTTCTCTGTAGTGCCTTCCAGGGGCTGCCATACAGACACTCCTTTGGTGTCTTGGCAGCACCGCCTCAAATTCTGTGTTCAATTGGCAACTTGAACAAAACCCAACACAGAGTTGACATCAGAGAAGTCTGGAGACAGCAGTTAAACACACAAAGCCACATTTTCTGCAAGAGTTTCAAATCCTCAGCATCTGTGTAAATGCAACCTTTACATGCTGGGCAGTCACAGAGACTTACCTACAGTTGGTAAGCACTCCCTGATTTTGGCCCTAATATGCCTACAGCTGTATCATTAGAGTCACTCACAATGGAGACAACTGGATTTTAAATGTGGGCTTTCCTTTGTTGGTAATTACCCACAGGTAAAGTCAATTCAAAGGCATTCACAAGCCCTTTTTCTTTTTTCTGAAACAGACCTCTGTGCATTTCTGCAAGCAAAGCAATAACATTTCTGGCCAGACAGTATTTGTGTCCAAAGCCATGAGAGAATTAAGTTTTGAAAAATTTGGAAAATGGCCTTCTCCATGTACCTGAGCCTTGAGGTGGGAGGAAAGATGTTGCTGGTGATATTGCAGAGCACCATCGCGCACAAATTCAGGTCACTCAAAGCTTCTTAAGGCATGTTAGATTTAAGTGGGTGTCAGGACACTAGTGAGTCTCCTTGCCAAGAGCTGTGGGTAGGTCCCTTAGAATCTCTGCTGAGACAACCATCCAGAAACCACCCTGACAGTTTTGAGTAGCTGTAAGGAATCACTAGAACACTCCACAACTCAGTGTAAATGCCAGAGGCTTCAGGAGAAGCCACATTAGTGCATAATGTGCCAAGCTCCACCATACTCTAGCTGCAAAGAAGTCTACTCCTGGCCCGTTGCCTGGTGAGGTTTGGGACCTGGAGCGTGAGGTCATGTAGCTTTGTAGCTTATCTTACAAGTCACCATGTGTGAGTTCTCCTCCTGTTTATTTGATTCTTTAAATTTCCCAATATCTCCATTTGTTCCTATGCTCAGGACAAAGTTTAGTGTTGCCTTATCAGTGTCCCTCGAAATAGGCTCTGCCCAGGACAGCACTTTTTAAATCCACACGTGATTTCCCCACACAGTCCTGTTATACCGGTTCTTTTTCCTTCTCTTATGCTCACTGAGTGATGCACTCTCTTTCCTCAGTGCCACCACTGTGGCCTTGCTTGGTACTCACATCCCTTTCCTGTTTGTTTTGTAGGTCACTACAACACCAACGATTCCCTCATCAAGGTGTCTCCCAAGGGTACAACATCTTGCTTCAAGTCAAAGACCTCCCCACCTAACAAGGATGGGCAGATTTACTCCACAGCCTGCAACCTATCAGCCACATAAACCTACCAAGGAAGCAAAGAAAACTCCTTTCAGCTAAGTCCATCCTGGAAGACATGGCACTTTCACGGGACATACGAAAATATGTCAGATGGCAGAGTGATCCTGCAGTGTCCCACTATATCGTCTGGTCCAGCACAGCCATTGCTGGTTTGTTTTTTTTTTTTTTTTTTTCATTGCCACAGGTTTACAGAAACTGGCTCAGAGGTGGAAGTGTTACCATGCTCTGCCTTGAAGGGGAGTGTGGGTTGATACCCTGGAGCAGTGTATCAGAGGTTCCTTTATCAGATGATCTCTCAGACATTTACAAACAGTAATTAAATACTGCACCACCCTGATGATGTAGGGGTAATTTCTTATCCCCATTTTACAGAGCAAGAAGCCAGAGCACACATGACCTGGAAAAAAGATCCTTCACATCCCAGGGAGAGGCTTTAAGCACTAGGCTGTGTTTCTTTTGCATTCCCAGTGCCTAAACTCACCCCTAGAGTAGCGCACTGGGCATAAAGAGTCAAATCTGGGAACTGCTGGGTCAGAACCGTGAGGGATGCTTGTGGCTGCGCAGCAGCTCAAGGCACCCGGTGGCTAAAACATGGGCATTTCCTCAGCCCCTCTGAAGGCTGGGAATTACAACTGGAAAGAGGCTGGTAAAGCTTTCAAGTACTTCCTTCAAGCCAGAACTGCCATTTCCATGTATTCCACCCTACCACTTGTTTCAAAGAGATTAAAAGGCATGAAAGGAAACTCCCTTCTCCCAAGCCCTCCTCCCCCTTGGTATCCTTGTGAGAAGGCAAATAAATCTGCCTATCAGCAAACTGTTCAAGTAAATTTATTGTCACCATGGAGTTACGTTGCCTGACCTAAGATTAAGATCAACAATAAATTCCTGACCATGGAAAAGAATGAGAACATGAGAAAGCCCACGGCTCTCCTTAGCCAACAGGTGTATCTTTACTACATCTCTCAGCAGTTGTATCTTATGACAGGGGTTTTGTAAAAAGACTGGGAAGCTGTAGGGTGGGAGGGAAGCAATGCCAAGTGGCATTTGATAAGGACAGAGGGCTAGAGGAAAGGGCAAATTAAATACGAGGAGAGAAGATCGCCAGTCGCTATTATCAGAAAACACAAAAACACTCCACGCCCAACTGCTGGGGTTAGAGCCTGCTCCCTCTCCCATTTCAGTCAGTGGGAAAGAATGGGAGGAACTCCCGGCTGCAGTCACTTGGCATGGCTGTCAGTTTCAGTGCTACCCTCCTCTGGAGTAGCTGAGCAGCCAGCTCTCTACAGAGCTCAGACCACTGGCGAGTCTTTGTATGTTAAAATAAATAAAGTGGGCTGTCTATGGCATTGCAATTGGACCCTGTTTTCCCCAGATCATTCCCAAAAGATTTTGGCTTAGGACTATAAAGCATCTGCCTCCCCAGGGTACTTAACAGAAACCACAGCTTTTATTTCCAGACATAAAACCCCATCCGTGTGGGACAAGTTCCTCACATTTCTTTCTACTGACAGGCAGAAAGCTGCCATCCCACTTTGTAAAGATCCTCCTTCACCTGGGCAGTACAACCTCGTGGATTACAAAGGGTGTCCAAGCAGGACTGTTCAAGTGCTGTGTTTGTCTCAAACACAGGGCAATGGACAGAGCGCGGATCACAGGAAGGGTTCCCTGGGCCAGTTAAAAATAAGAATTGTTCTGAAGTACTCCTTACTGCTAGAGACAGCAAGACACAAATGTGACTAAACGGCGCTATTGCCCATTCAACATGGAAGAAAAAAAAAAACCCCGAAGCACAGCAATTAGCAGAGCTCACCCACAAAGGCGTGTGGTCACCTGAAGGCACCTGACTCAGTACCACATGGCATATAGGACCTTTTGTGAACTGGGAATAGTAGGTTTATAGTGAGCACCAAGTGTCTAAATCCTTGTAAGATCAAAGCATAGTGTCTCCTGACACCTTTAGATGGGCTAGTATCATCCAAAGGGCCACACAGCAGCACCACGGCAGAAGCAGCACCAGAGTCCTGACTACCAGCTCTTTGTCCAACTTGCTGGTCCATATTTTACAATATTATTTTTAAAGGCAAGATTGAAAAAAAAAGCATGTTTGCAATGTAAAGGCCATTAAAGCATCACTGACTGTCAGTGTGTTCAACAAACAGGTTGTGTGAGTTCTGGTGCTGTTGGTACAACAGACATTTCACCTGCAGTATTTTTCTATTTGATTGGAAGAAAGGAGCACTTGCAGGGAGAGAGGAGGAAAAAACCCAAAACATGCCTTCTTAGAGTAGAGAGCCCCCATGCCCCAGCTGGAGAGCAGCATTACAGAGCACCTCTGCATGGTCTCCTTGTTTTATACCCCTCTGGCTGTCGTGGCCTCCATAGGCTTCACTGGAGCTTTCCTGACATAAAGCCAAGTGAAATGGTAGAAGAAACACATCCTGCAGCTTGTAATCAGGAAATGCCTGGGGAAGCAGGAGCAGGGACCCACCCTCAGCCAGGAATGGGTTAAACACCCCACACTGACTTACAGACGCCAGTCCCTCCGGCCAGGACCAGTGGGCAGCTGCCTTGCTGCTGCGGGCAGTGGTCACAGGGACAGCTCATGCAAGGAGCAGGGATGAGTTTTGACCCTCTGTCATTGGCATTGGTCAGAGAAGGGCAGACACAGGGACAAATCCTGCTGTGGTCTGCCTGTGCTGAGCAGTTCTCTACTGTGTGGATACAGAGCTGGTTGTGGGGTGGAGGTAGAGCTCAGCTCAGCCTGGGCGGATCATGTTCCTCAGTGCCCCTTGGCTAATTGTTGCCAGGCACAAAAACCATAATTTTTTCAGTTAGTCACACTCATATTTCTTGCCCTGTTTATTTCTTCTAAGATTCTTAAGTCATTCTGGGAGGTTACTGAAAGTCTGGAAAAGCAGACAATAGCAATGCTGCTATTATTTCCAGCATTTGGACTTAGCCAGCTGCAGATTTTGTACCAGCCACAGAGAGCAAGAGGACGTGCTGGTACCATGAGTCTCTCCAGAGCCCTTGTGGCAGCACAAATGGGGTAATGGGCTTTTCTGGAGTCACATTCAGCTCGTACCCCAGACTTGCAATGTACCATGTGAACACGCCAACTCCCTGAGAGCTGTTCTGCTGACTAGGCTAGGATGAGATCCGCAGCCAACGTAAATCAGTCTGTTTCTGAAGAAGGAACAGAGCTGGGCCAGTTTATTCATGCTGAAGATCTGGCACAGAATGGTTAAGGACGGTTACCAAAATCAATTAAAGAGAAAGGGAACAGGCTAGCAATACCTTCTGCAGATGGTAGAGAAATGCCATCTTTCATTTCCCTGGTTTTTATGCCAATTTGATTAGAAACACAACGCAATCCCATGTCAGTGCATGAAAAGGACAAGGGGACACCATCACCACAGACATAGCCATCACAAAGCAGCAGGTTTATCAAAGGCTGGTTATCCAGCAGCTGTTGATGTCTGGGCTTTTCGGAGCCAGGATCTCAGTGTTTCCAGCAGCTCTGAGTAATCCCTTGCACAGGAGTGACAGTCAAATGTACAATCAAGACACCCTTGACACACTCAGGCTAGCCCGACATCTGTGCACACCCAGTGGTAGCACTATAATTCTATGGCCAAGGGCACTTTGCAGCTGAAAAGACCAGGATGTTCACACAGGCTGGGGGTTTTAATACCAGTCTCATCAATCAGAAGTTTAGTTACACAAACTCCAAGGAACCAGGTGAGAAAGCAGAGCAGAAGGGATCCCCACTGACTGCATTAGAGCTTTGCACACAGCGAGAAAGGTGCAGGCAGGGTTTCATTTTCCTCTGTCTGATCCTCTCCGATACCCAACATGGCGCCAGGCCATCTCCAAACACAACGTGTGGGTGTCCCAACAGAACACAGGGTGCTGGTTTTCCCTTTATAGCGATGAAGAACCACACCACGCACCCCAAGATCCTCAGCTGCTTGGTTGATGATGCAAGGAATGAATAAGCATGAATAAAGACACAGAAACTGGGTGTTATTTGCAGAAGCGAAGAGCAGAGCCCTCCACCCAGTGCTGTGGATACCAGAGCTCTTGCACAACTCAGCTCACATGCTGCTATGTTTCTCTTTTTTTATGTATCTCTGTCATTGCAAGTGCTTGTTCACCCAGACAGAGCACATGGGAAGAGGCGCCCAGAGCAGCAGAACCCAGATGCCAAAGCAGGGTTCCTCCAACAGGACTTCTGCCAAGCTCTGCAAAGCAGATGCTAGCTCACAGTAAGCCGTCCCGTCCTCAGCCTGCCACAGTTGGCTGGCTGATAGTTCAGCAGCTAATTAGCGGTACTTGGTATTGTATATTGAAAGATGATCATTAGCTAAGATTGATAGAAAGTTTTGCAGATGTTGAATAATTACTACAATTAGTGCAAAAAAACCCCTTCTCTTGTGCTTTGATCTGATAAACCAAAGAGAAAAGAGGTGCTGGAGACTGAGCACGCCCACGGGAGACATTACCCTGGTGGGGAGTCCTTTCCTATCGCAGTAGGAATACGTGAGAAGGTAAGCGTGGGCAAGTCCCGAACCTCTGCCGCTTGCTGGCTCAGAGGATGGATGCTGGGTTTGCCATGCAGCAGAACACACATCACACCTCCATGGTGTGGGCCCTCCTCCAGGTACATTTTACAGGCCAGTTGAGCATTTCTGACTGGAGTCAGCACAAACTAGCTGCCGACTGTGCAGAGCAGACACCGCTCCAGAGGAAACTGCTATCATTTGTCAGGGCGAGCCCTTTGCAAAACACAACTGGGTTCATACTTTCACATGACCTTTGTTCACTCAGAGGTGAATCGCCTTCATCACTTGTATCTTAATCTTCAAAAGGAACTGGTGGGCTCCGGGCAAAGAGTCAAGAATGCTTTCGCATATTTGGGAGCTCTGCTTTACGCAATCTCTACAGCAACTCGCCTTTGCTGGAAGGGATGAACGATACTGAGCCAGTCAGCAAAACACCCACCCTGGGCAGGGGTGGCAGGGGGCGGTGACTCTGTCTGCTCTTACACTGGCGTGAATCAACTGGTATTTCCCTGCACATGGTGGAGTTACCATGATTTAAAACCTGACAAAGTCAGGATTACCCTGAACCCACACAGAAGAAGTACCTGAAAAGATGGGAAAGTGGGGGGAAGTTGTTTGTGCCATGCAGACGTGCGTCACTCCAGCCAGGGCAGTTCTCACCCTGCAAAACTTAGGATGGGTTTGTAGCTGGTGTGACAGGACCACTGTAAAATCCAGCAAAATTCATCACTGTTCTGCTGGGAACCTAAAGTTACCAGTGACATGATTTTCGCTGTTGTAAATTAGGAGTAACACTACTAGGACCAATGGAGTTAGACTAGTGTAACTGAGAAGAACATCAGATGGGTAGAGCTGTGTTTAGGCTGGTAGGAAGTCACCCCCAAAATCAGACCTTTAAAACAACTGAGGGACGAGAGGTCACCAAGAGCCCCTAACATTGCGTGCACACACATCCCCCCCTCAGTTGCCTGCAGCCATCCCAGATCTGTACTGCAGGGCAGAGCACGCTGCCTCTGCTACCAGGGGGTTTCCCCAAAGCCCCAGCTGCTGCCAGGGCAATGGCAGTTCATGGGGGAGAGCACTAGCACTGTGCAGACACCCGATACGAGCCATCGGGGTACTCCCAGCTCCGTCCATCTGCTGTTGGTACCGATTCCTTGTGTCCGGGCCTCTTGGGCAGCGCGGAGGACACGGTGCTTCCTCTGAACCACCTACTGCCTTGTCTGGGGCGTACTGCCTGGAGGGGGCCAGATGCTCCCTCTCCCACCGGCAGTGGGAAACCTCTGTTCTTACCTTAGCAGCTAGTGCTTGTCTACGTGGTCAGGCAGGATCAGTTCACCCTCCCCGGGATGAGCCACATGCGTGGAGTCCTGCTGCAGAGGTCTCCCCAAGAAGAGCAGAGCCCCTGTGCCCACCTGACGCATCAGGGTGATGAGGGAATCTGTAGGTTTCACGGCCATTGACGTCGAGCGTTGGTGGAGTCTTGGTGTGCCTGTTTTTAACTGGAGCCAAAATTCTGCTACAGCAAGACTGTAGGCACGGCCTTGCAGAACTAACACTGAATCAGAGAAATCCTGCTAAAGGAGGAATTTATGATATGAAGATGAGGGAGTGCAGATTGCTGGGAGAGATCTTTAAAGGTTGATAAGCCTTCAAAAGTTATTGGAGTCTCATCTTAGAGGCCCTCCTCATCATGATAACAACACTTAAGTAATCCAAAATTCACCAGCACAATGTGTTTCAGCATTTCAAACCCCCTTCCCAGGGGGAGTAGAGCTGCTCACTCTTCCCCAGTCACAGGACTCAGTGGCATCTCTCTGACAGGGACAGGAAAAGCAGAGGATGAAAATGAGGGAGGAAGAAAGTCCCTGCCTGGCTGCCCTTGGTGGTTTTTTACCTAACTGGGAAGCAGCTGCAGACAATTTTAGCACAGGGGCAAAGAATTAGTGGCTGAGAGGTAGCACATGTGGGGAGCTTAAACAGTGCAGCACGTGACAGAAGGTAACACTGCCTCTGTGACAAAACAGAGGCTGAGCTGCTCCTCCCATGAGCAGAAGTAAACCAGGGCACTGCTTTCTGACTTGCGCAAAATTTTACCAAATCTGTGTAACGTAATCCCTCCATCAAAGGGATGTGCGTAGAACTGCTCAGTAACCTCCGCCTGCCCGCAGCACT